TTACTATATAATTAAAATAATATCACATATAGACATAATATATAACAATTCATTAAATAAAAGAGTTTCATATTAAGTACAAAAAGTAGAGTATCATATTCACTCTATATTAATCACAAAAAAGATTACAACATAGTTCACCTAGGCTATGTTTTTCCATGCTACGACATTTTCTTTTGCCTTGTCCATAGCATCCTCCATTTCTTCTCTTGGAATTCTCTTGTTTAGCATATGTTGGATGTATTCTATTACATCATCAACCAAATCCATTGGATGTTCTGTTAAAAACATGTGAATAAGCTTCTCAACACGTTTGGCTGGAGAGTTCATCAAAAAGTGTGGGGAATTTTTTGGAACAAACACAAGCCTGTGTTCAACATAGACATGTTCAATCTCTTTGAATTTGTGGGCCCTAGCTAATGTCTTGAATGGTTCCAAACATTCATCATTTAGTATTGGAACCAATGACAACCCACTGTGTTCTTCGATGGGCATATGATACCAGTTCCCCAAACTGGTATACCCAAGCCTTCTGGAAAAACGCACAAGCAAATCCATGTCTAACAAATCGATGTCTCACATAAGAAATGAAGTGAACCTTGGTCTGTTGATACGCCTTGCCTGGGTAGTCTGTAAAGAGCCCACCATGGGCAATGCGAATGGTGAATCGTTTGTCGTTTGGTTTCCCGTATTCAACCACCAGTGTGTTTTTTGATGGTTTTGCGCTTACACTCCAGAGATTGAAGTTCGGATGGGCCCACGGATCATCATTCATCTTCTTTTCTAAAAATCGATGTATTTTTTTTCAAAGAGGAAGAAGGAGCAATCGAAGTTATCGTAACGTAATGAATATGTGAGAATGACGAAATTTACATACGCAAATGGTTTATAAGGATCATCAGTTGGAGGTGAAGGGACATCGAATGAGGCCATCACTTCTCTAATTAATTACAGTCTACAGAGGTGGATTTTGAACGACGGCTATTCGGCTACGATAATGATTACACATTTTTGTATTACACATTAATATATCTAGTATTTACATTAATATGTATTATATTCATGTAAAAAACTATCTACGTATTAATTAAATATAATATCCATACTAGCATTGTTTTTTTATCAAACAATATATATATATATATATATATATATATATAAATTTTTAATAAATATGTAAAATTAATTTTTTAATTCAATTGATCATGTACGGGTGTTGGTTGCGGGTTTGGACCTCATTAGGTCATGTACGGGTGTTGGTTGTGGGTTTGGACCTCATTTGGTCATGTCCATAGTGTTGGTTGTAGGTTTGGAGCTCATTTGGTAATGTCCATAATGTTGGTTGTGGGTTTTGACCTCATTAAGTGATGTACGGGTGTTGGTTGTGGGTTTGAACCTCATTTGGTCATGTCTATAGTGTTGGTTATGGGTTTGGACCTCATTTGGTAATGTCCATAGTGTTGGTTGTGGGTTTGGACCTCTTTAGGTAATGTATGGTTGTTGGTAGTGGGTTTGGACCTTATTTGGTCATGTACGGGTGTTGGTTGTGGGTTTGGACCTCATTTGGTCATGTATGGGTGTTGGTTGTGGGTTTAGACCTCATTTCATCATTACGGGTGTTGCTTGTGGGTTTGGACCTCATTTGGTAATGTCCATAATGTTGGTTGTGGGATTGTACCTCATTTAGTCATGTATGGGTGTTGGTTGTGGGTTTGCACCTCATTTGGTCATCTCCATAGTGTGGGTTGTGGGTTTGGACCTTATTTGGTAATGTCCATAGTGTTGTTTGTGGGTTTGGACCTCATTTGGTCATGTACGTGTGTTGGTTGTGGGTTTGGACCTCATTTGGTCATGTATGGGTGTTGGTTGTGGGTTTGAACCTCATTTGGTCATGTCTATAGTGTTGGTTGTGGGTTTCGATCTCATTAGTTAATGTATGGGTGTTGGTTGTGGGTTTGGACTTCATTTGGTCATGTACATAGTGTTGGTTGTGGGTTTGGACCTCATTTGGTCATGTATGGGTGTTGGTTGTGGGTTTGGACCTCATTTGTTCATGTCCATAGTGTTGGTTGTGGATTTGGACCTTATTTGGTAATGTCCATAGTGTTGGCTTTGGGTCTGGACCTCTTTAGGTAATGTATGGGAGTTGGTTGTGGGTTTTGACCTCATTTGGTCATGTACAATTGTTGGTTGTTGGTTTGGACGTCTTTAGGTAATGTATGGGCGTTGGTTGTGGGTTTGGACCTCATTTAGTCATGTACGGGTGTTGGTTGTGGGTTTGGACCTCATTTGGTCATGTATGGGTGTTGGTTGTGGGTTAGGACCTTATTTGGTCATGTACAGGTGTTGGTTATGGGTTTGGACCTCATTAACCTCTTTAGGTAATGTATGGGTGTTGGTTGTGGGTTGCAACCTCATTTGGTGATGTACGGGTGTTGGTTGTCAATTTGGACCTCTTTAGGTAACGTATGGGTGTTGGTTGTGGGTTTTGACCTCATTTGGTTGTGTACGGGTGTTGGTTGTGGGTTTGGACCTCATTTGGTCATGTACGAGTGTTGGTTGTGGGTTTAGACCTCATTAGGTCATGTACGGGTGTTGGTAGTGGGTTTGGACCTCATTTGGTCATGTCTATAGTGTTGGTTGTGGGTTTGGACCTCATTTGGTAATGTCCATAGTGATGGTTATGGGTTTGGACCTCATTTGGTCATGTACGTGTGTTGGTTGTGGGTTTGGACCTCTTTAGGTAATGTATGGGTGTTGGTTGTGGGTTTGGACCTCATTTGGACATGTATGGGTGTTGGTTGTGGGTTTAGACCTCATTAGGTCATGTACGGGTGTTGGTTGTGGGTTTGGACCTCATTTCGTCATGTACGGGTGTTGGTTGTGGGTTTGGACCTTATTTGGTAATGTACATAGTGTTGGTTATGGGTCTGGACCTCTTTAGGTAATGTATGGGTGTTGGTTGTGGGTTTGGACCTCATTTGGTCATCTATGGGTGTTGGTTGTGGGTTTGGACCTCATTAGGTCATGTACGGGTGTTGGTTGTGGGTTTGGACCTCTTTAGGTCATGTATGGGTCTTGGTTGTGGGTTTGGATCTCATTATGTCATGTACGGGTTGTAAGTGTTTAATACCATAGGATAGTCATTGGTTTATGGAGTTATGGCATATAAATTATTATTATAAATAATTACGCCTACTAGACCGTATTATTATTTTTGTTATATAATAATATTTTTACCTTGTATATATAATTTTTTAACTTTATATATTTTTTATTTCAAATTCATAAATGTTTTTCCAAAAAATAAATTGTTAATGTAGAAGTACCAAATATGTAATATTTATATTCTTACCAAATAAGTCATACTAATTTTTGAAAAGGCAGGACATGTTTCCGAACAACGATTTTTTCTTCTAATCGTGTGGGATTACTATGAGATCAAAATTTGAAGCACATTTGAATCTGTCAAACGAATTTAAACAAACACTAATGAGAGGCAAATATTTTTTTGTATGGTTTTTGGGCTCAAAATCAAAGCGGGAAATCTTCATCTATCGCACTGCCAAAACTATGAAGATCAATCCATCGGATGAAGTAAATCCCGGTAATTTTTAGGTAACCTCCATCAGTTTAGGACCTGTTAAATCATTTTAATATTTAATAGACTGTCATTTATTCCACCATTGTTTTGTTTAGCGTTTGGTTATATTCCAGAAGGATCATACTTCAAGTCATCATTCATCAAGCTTTCTAGTGTAAGTATATTGTTTGTGTATGTATAGTTTCAATGTTATTGATTGTATTGATCACGGATCATGCATAACACAAAGAATTTTGATTCTTCATATTGGTGTGCTTCCTGCACACAAATTGTTCGATGAAATGTTTATGTGAGCAATTGTCTGTAACATTATTTGTTCATACATTATCATTAAACTTATAAACAATGAAACTTATTTTCAATCTGTTTTGTCAATAGAAGAATCATGGAGGTTGACAAGGAACAACATGAGGATATCCCTGACTATAATACATAATATGAGCTAGATGATGGAAACCAAGAATATGATTCGCATACAGAGAATGGTGAAAATAAAGACATTCACTACAATACCCAATCAGATTCGGAAGAAGAAATCCATAAAACAGTTCCTACAAAATCAGATAGGAAGAGGGGCATGACTCGATTGCCAAAACTGAAGACTGAATATGTCAATTCTGGTGGAAAAAAAACGTGCCAGGTTTGATGAATTTGGTAAGTTTACAGGGAAGAATAACGCAGTCTTTGTTAGCTATTTGGGTGATCTTGTCCGCGAGAAGGTGGGATTAAGTGCTCTTTATTGGAAAAAAGATAAACCGGAAATGAAGGACAAACTATGGGAAGAGATAATAGTAAATATTTTCTTCAATTTTTTAATATGTATAACATAATATATGTAAAAATCAAGTTTTAAATACTAACATTCTCATTGTTTTTTAGCGCTATTTTGAGGTTCATGAAAGTGGAAAACAATTTGTGATGAAAAGACTTGGTATTCTTTTACGAAATTTCAGAAGAAAGTTGTATGCGGATTACATCAAACCACATCTAGGCGATACCAGTACTCTTGAAAAAATCTCAGTTCGTTATTGTGCACTAATCACTGAACAAGATGATTGGAACAAATTTGTGACTTATACACAATCTCAAGAGTTTAATGTTAAAATATTTTTTCACAACCTATTCATTTATTTATCATAATCTGGTTTCTAAAAGTTCGTGACAAATATGTTAATTTTAATTTACAGAATGTGTCACAAAGGACTATCAAAGCGAGAAAGATGTCAAAGTATGATCATCGGATGGGAAGAGGGGGTATAAAACTCTTAGGAGGAAGTTGGTAAGCTACATTAACTTTATATCATTTTATTTAACATCCTTTTGTTTCATATTCTTTAAAATTTATTTTTTTATCAAGATTGAAGAGAATGTGATTTAGAAGGAGGAAATTCCCTCAATGTCAGTTATGTGGTGTAAAGGGCGTGAAAGTAAAGGAGAATTTAAGGATGAAGATGTTAAAATCATGGCTGATAAACTAGTAACTTGACTACATTTTTCTTTTTCTTTTATTTTAAATATTGTAATCATTGATATTAAGACAATTATTACTAATTTTTTGTTTGGTAGATAGAACATGAGAAACAGATAAAAGAAGGACAAGTAAATGTTGAACCAGGAACGGATGCCATGATCTTAGTTTTTGGCAAGGAAAATGGCAGATTTTTAAAGGGTGTCGGCACGGGAGTCACTTACAATAGATATTTCAATGTTCCTCGTAGAAAAGGGTCATCTAAGGAAGAAATTAAAGATCTTAAAGTTTCATTGCATAATGGAAAACTTAAGCTTGAGAAAAAAGATATTGAGCTCAAGGCTTTGTCTACAAAGGTTAATGAACAAGATCAAACACTAAAGCTAGTTTTGGCTCATCTTAATGCAAAAGGAGCTGACTTTCCGAATCTATCTCATACAATTGTAAGTAATCTTATTGAAAATATCTGTTGTCAATGTTAGTTCTAAATTGCATTTCTTTTAAACATTTTTCCAGTTTCTTTATATTTTATAGGGTATTTCAAGTGAGAAGATTGTACAGAGTAATGAAACGTCTCCTATTAGTCTCAAAACCAATGAACCTTCAGAACCTGTAACACCAGTATGTTATCGTCTTCTTAGATCATCGTTGATATATATGTGTGTGTGTGTGTGTATATATATATATATATATATATATATATATGTTTGATACTGATTTCTAATTTTTCATGTTGGACTTATATTATGTAGGTTATTCCAAAACCCAACAAAAAACCTGTTCAAACAAAATTTGCAACTGCAGCACCCGATGCAAAATTGATTTCCATGAAATCTGCAACAGTAGTATATACTAACTTTACAGTTTTCAATACTTTTATTTAATATTTTTATTAAAATATATGTTTAAATATGTCTTAAATCTTGATATCAGGCAAATACAAAAACAACCAACAAAAATTTTGAGTCTAAGACTACCAGCATCAATCATGACATACCAAAAGTTTCACCAAATAATCCCATTCACCAGGTCAGTGTTTTTTTACATGATGAATATACATTTCTGTTTTTTTTCCAGATTATAACATTACTTGTCATTGTAGCCAATCAAGTGTTCTATCATATCCATATAAAAGAAACATTGTTACCCGCAGTACCATTCACTTATCATCAGAAAGATAATTTATTCATGGAGTTTTTCTACAAGATGATTGCTATAAAGTTTCCATTGATGAAGTGGTTGTAAAAACTGCATTTCTACCCCATCAAACTGGAGAATTCAAATTAGTTGAGGATGCATATAAAAGTTTTGTTCCATGGCCAAAATACCTTTTTCAAACCGAGTCATAGGTTTGTTTCAATATGTCCAATACTTTTTATATTAAACTTTATTTTCTTCATAAACTACTATACTAAGTTTATGATGAATTAATTTTATTGGTTTCAATATTGTTGTTATAGGTACCAGAAATTATATCACATCAAAAATCAACAAAAAGGAAACCAACTTACGTATCATTTGTTTCCCTTCTGAAGAAAACAATGAGCAATACAAACAAAAAGAATGCCTAGCTAGTTATGTTTAGGTTTTGGTTTATGATGTGTTTGATTTTTTAACCGTTATATAAATTCGTTAAATTACACAAATTTTCCTTTCTTTGATATTTTAATTAGGAATGTAATGTATATATGGATTTCGATTTCAATTATTATTAATATAAAATTTTGAATTTTGTTTGTGTTTCATATTGTTGCGTTTCGTTACTTTAATTTAAAGTATTTTCATGTGTCTAAAATGTATAAAAAGTAACAGTAAATAGTAAGTTATAGTGGTTGTAGTATGATTTTTGCCATGTTATATACGTTTTTAATGTCTCTAAAAATATACAATGGTTACTTTACATCAATTTGTAACGTGTGGCTAAATGGTTAACAATAGTCATAATATACAAGAATTATGAGACTACAATTGATTTAAAGTGATGTTTATTAAAAAACTTGTCACTAAGTTAAACAATAACAACATGGAAAACAATATATGTGGCAAATAAATACCATAATTGATTGTTGTTGAGACTAAATACTAGGAAATCGCCACATAGATCATTAACTATATGTGTCCATTTACCGAACACGGACATGTTTACCGTAAATTATATGTGTCTAAAATATACCCAATAGTCTTAATACGATACCGAATTGTCCTTAATTTTAACAAAACGTGTGACTTTATAATACTTATGATTTTAATTCACTTCTTCGTTTGTCTCTGTACGTTAGGTTATAGTCACAAACGTTGATTGGTTTTTGTGACTAATAATTAGCAATTCGTCACATATGAAAGTAAAGTACTTGTGGCCATTTAGCAAACATGGTCACACTCACCATAATTAAAAGTTTACAAAAGATACACAATAGTCTTAATAAAATTTAAATTGTGTGACCATATGTAAGAAAACAACTACACTAAAACATCATGAATGTCGCATTTTGGTGATATACAATCACAACATTAAATAAAATAAATATGTGTGACTAATAACTGTTTAACGCTACAATATTGGATATTTAAGGAACAAAATTCCGTACACATTTGCCAAACTTTTATACTACGGCCACATGTTTTCATAGCATACAGGCACTACATTTTAAAGTAACCATAAGACCCATACGATAGCGTCAACCTCCGTCACACTTTCAGTGAAAAAATAAAATGTCACTATACACATATAGTCACACTTTTTTGGTGTGACTGTAAGTCTTTTTTCTTGTAGTGTGACCTAATTTGAAGCTCATTTTTTTACAATGCTCTTTCTATGTGCATAAGCTCTTCTCACTAGTCTCACACACACCTTACCCTATCCAGTATTATCTTTACGTCTTCCTACTATGCTCTCCATTGTAAGCGAATTTTGTAACTGGGGTTTTAAAATTATCGTGTTTAGGGTTTACATTGGATTCCAAAGATTGTTTTAAGGTCAACTTCTCTTCTTGCTGTTTGTTTTTACTTTGTGCTAATTCTTTATTGGGTTGTGGCGTTTGAAGTTCAATTGATTTGAGAAATAGGTTTTAGATTCAAGTTAATTTTCTTTCTAGTCATCAGTTTTGTGATGAACAGTCATTATATTTTTCTCTTCGGCATTTCCAAATTCACTCTCTAGCTTCCCGGTTTTGAAAATTAATCATTAGTGGAATTTGGTTTCATATTCTGTGAAAAGTTCTCTTTCATTCTCTGTTCTCTGATGAACATTATTTGTTTAATTTCAAAAAAATTTATATGATCCGATTATCCCTTTTTTAACTGCCTTTTGAAGATTAGCAACTATAGGAATGGGTTCAGGATATAAGTTCTAATGAATCTTCATGTTAATAGACTTCCATTTTTTTAGTTTTTGTAGCTCTGTTAGTTGATCTACAACAGATATTGATGGCCACATCCATAGTTAATTGCAACTACTTTGAGGGAAATCGACTATTTAGAATTGAGGTATTGTTTTAATCTCAGGTTTTTCCATTAACCTTTGAGCTACTTCTACTAGTGTAAATTGTTGTTGGTCATAAATTTTTTTGAGTTTCTTTTTTAATCCAAATTGGTGTAATTTGTTATTGTTTTGAAGTTTTTGGAATTTCTTTTTTCATTATTAATGGAATATATTCCATATTTAAAGACGCACATCAAGTACTCGATGAAATGCTTGAAAAAAACATCACTGCAAGTTTAATTTATTTGTGACTTTATAATGTTTTACTCATTTATAACACATATATGCCCATAATACTTTCTATTCTATCATGAATTATGAAGTTTCTTACAAATATACACCTGAATCACACATAATGCTTGTATTTTTATCACCTTATTCATAACTATAAGATTCTTTAGTTAAATTTCTTTCTCAAATGAACCTATGTGGGTAACATTACACACAAGTGACTGAACCACTTCGTGAAGCGGTTTTTCCAAAGCATCGGTGCATTGGTAGGAAAATAATTGGAGATTACAAATATGAAAGTCAAGGAATGTGGGTGGATGAAGTAAATGAGGGTGTATTGAATGAGATGAAAAACAAGATAAATGGACCTAAGAGTTCCAGTAAGAACCCAAAAGTCAAAACCTCAAGCAAAATTGGAATCTGTCCATCCTCGCAACCAAACTAAACACATCATGATGGTTTAGAAATTGATCTTTGACATTTATTTCCCCTCTATAGCATTTAAAAAATGATTTTGGACCAAACAAAATTAGATTCTTTGACTAAATTATAAAAATTTCAATGCCTTTTTTTCTTTCCATTACATAAAAGTCCTAAAGTCAACTTCCCCAGCATCCATTGACAATTACGACTTCCCTTCTTTAAGCATCGTTATTTTCCTTGAGGGTTGGACTTGGTAACTTGTAACCAGTAAGAGATAACCATCTTCCTCCTTTTTTAATTAGTTTTCTATAGTCAATAAACTAACCTTTCCTTTCTGAATATTGATGGTTAAGTATTTGATATACAAAGTGTTGGTTTAATGTTATGTATATAACAAAAAAAAATAATTTCTAAACACATCTATACATAGTTTATGATATTTGAAGTGTTAGTTTAGTGTTAGTTTAAAGCATCACATATTGTTTAGGAGCATGGAATTCGTTAACCTTTTTGTTTATGTTTTGTGATTTTTTAATGTCTACATATTGATTACAAGCATGGAATTCATTAACCTTTTTATTTATGTTTTGTGATTTTTTTCCTTTTCTAGACACATTTTCACTGCCCTACATAGCTTATCATATTTGAAGTGTTAGTTTAATAGACATTCTTCTAATGCTTTTTTGTCACTATGTAATTTTATTACTTTTCCTTCCGTTTCAACATTTGAATTTTGATATGTTGTTTTTTTAATGTGAAAATAGGTTTAACCAATGATGAGACTAGATATGTGGTCGAAGATCTTGATAAAGAAGTGAATGTTTTGGATGGCTGTTTTATGATGGTATTATGTTATGAGTACTGACCTTCTACATGAACTCTGACCTTGTCAATGACTTGTCCATTAGATAAGGGATCATATATTCCTCCATTCTAGATATCATATGGACTGCGACATGGATTATAATCATTCTCTCTGTACATTTGTTGTTTCCCGATTTCCGATTTATGACGACTGACTAATTGAACAAATCAAATCAGTCCTGGCCCAGCCGAGCACTTCCATTTGTCATCATCAAATCATCGAGGGGCCCACAGATATCGCTTTTATCCCGAAGCTAAAAGGAATGGATAAACTTCGACTCATATGGCTTGTTCTACTACTTGTTGAATCATACACAAAGGCACGTTTTATAACACCGAGTTACCGAATGCGTTTTCGTGCAATCAATGTACAACCAACTCATAGTAACAACTCATATCTCTAGGTTTAAAGAATATAAGATATTATCGTCTCATGATCACTGGTGATAAAATCCATGAAGTGATTCCAATGAGCGCGGGTTGAATCCAATACTCAGAACTTATGAGCACTCATGAGTGTTGTAGCCCTTTGTCTAACATCTTAGACCTCTACAAGCCAGCCCATGACAGTCTTAATTCATATCTACTTCCAACATATGACCAACCTTGGATGGTTTGAATAACTTAGTCATCCGGAACAATTACCTAGTTATTCTGGAAGTTAAAACATGCAAAGTGAAACACAATAATAATTGAATCCAATATGGTATCAAAACCTATGAACATAAATAAAACACCTTTTATTTATCACCATATGATTACATATTATTCATTGTATACTATTTCATCTATCAACTTTATTCTTGAATTTAAAACAATATTTGTCCCATGCTCCAAGCATATACACTATGTTTTCTAAACACTAGTCATGTCATACACCAAATATGCATACTATGTTTGTCTATGATCTTTACTTTGTGAAATAGATCAATTGAACATAACTCCAATGATACTCTTTTCATAGTCCCAAATCCTTACTACAAATGCCAGAATTCCAAATTCATGCCATTTACTGAAATCTGTTAGATTCTGAACTTATATTCATTGATCCTCTTGTAATGATTATGCACAAAGTCAGAAAGACTTGACAACAACCATTACAGAGCATTCCAAAGGAGATCAGCTCCTTGGAAACATCCTTCTTGCATTAAGTTTCCTAATCTTACACAGACTGAAAATTTTCTAACTTTGAAACATTTCCAGATTCCCTTTTGATTATAACTTCTGAACAAGAGTTGCCTCCTTACAGAATATGTCAATATGGTCCTTCCAGAATTATCACTATACTTCCCATTGTCCTTGAGAAACCAATCTTTGGTAAACCTTAGATTGTCCTCGACAATTTTTTAATCATTTTAGTCATATCCAATTCTAGACCTTTTTCCCTTCTTAATGCCCCAGGCATTTGGAAAATTTTAGAAAGGATGAATATAGCACATGTAATCGATCCTATATCCGAAGCATATGAGACACGATTCATGATGTCTTACATAAAGACTAAAACAGTCTTTTGCTATAATATTTCCATTTGAATTTGCCAAGTTCTCGTGATTCAGATTATGAAAAGGGATG